TAGAATCTTTGTATCAAAATTCAAATTGATATGTGATAACTGTGTGTTGAAAATTGATTAAAAATTTATTCAACTTTGACTTAGTCTTTGATATTTAGTTTTCCTGCAAATTTTTGCTCCGTAACTCACTGTCTTTTGGTTAGTAAATATGTCTGAAAGTAGTGGAAATAATATCTAATATTAGTTGAGATTTTTTAGCTTTTCAATTTGCTTATAAGCCTATAAATAGGCACCTTCAATTCTGAAATAAAGCGTACAGCAGATAACTTGCATACTCTGCATTTGTCAGTGTTAATTTCTCTTTGCAGCTTCCTTTTTCAATACTCTACTACTCTAAATTCCCAACACTATGGACTTCTTACTTCCACTCTCTCCAACTAGAGGTATAGATCCAATAGTCATTGTCGACGTCCGCTCAGGCTAAATTTTTGGGCTGGGTCCGCCCCTGATCACACCCCACTTCATCTTTTTCCTCAAAACTTTACTATTTTATTTAATCCCTTCCAAAACTCTTCTAAATCCCTTACCCCAAATTCCTCATTTCTTCTTCTCATTCAAACTTAACATGATTCACACTCGAGCCAATTTGTAAGTAACTCGAGCCTGAATGTACTTTACAGCCATAAATGTATCCTACGAAAGTAAAGACATGCACTTGACCAATACTAAGCCATAAAACTCGTTTCTATAGTTTCAAAAATGAAAAAAGGTTTCTACATTTTATACGAAGTTCTAGCCCAAGTCAATGAATACTTACATATATACATACATATATATATGTACATACATACAACCTTTGTTGATGGTCTTATCTTATGGTTGGGTTTTGTATTGGTCAAGCCTAACTATTTTTCTTATTTTATGGCATAAGTTTACTGCTTGTTCAGGTTACTTATAGCTACAGTTGCGTGACCTTTTCCTGCTATCATTTGTATTGGTATTATCCTCTCAACTTTAGGTGCAGCTCTTCAGAGCCTGACAGGTATATACATACATATATTATGTTTACATGTGTGTGTGTGTGGGGAACAAGGAAGAACTATCGATCTATCATGGGAATGAGAAGAAAAAATAATGAATTTGGGTGAGGGATTTACGAGGGTTTTGGAAGGAATTAAATAAAATAATAAAGTTTTGGGGAAGAAAACAACGTGGGAGATGTGGAAAATCAAGTTTTAAGGGTTTGAGATTGTAGGTGATACATAAATAAAATTGGGGTATAATTCGTAAAAGAGTAAAAAGTTTAGATACTAAAATTACAATTATTGCTTTTTTAATTTTGACATTTTTACTGTTTTTAACTGTAAATTTGACGGTAAGGGGTTTTTCACACAAAAATGTTTCAAATAGAGGGTTTTCTACGATTTTCAATAGATGGGGAGTATATCACAAATAGAAACTTCTGTAGAGAAATTTTCTGCTATTAATCCATCCACTAAAATACTCGTTGAAGTTGAAGTTTGATTGTGTATTTATAAATGGGGAATTTGGCCAGATAGCCGGGTTCAATGAAGAAATTGGACAAATGGCCTTTGACCCATGTTTTATAAAAAAAAAAAAAGAAAATATAAT